TAGTAAAAGAGTGCAGGTCCTAGACTGGCCTGCCTGCAGTCCAGACCTGTCTCCCATTGAAAATGTGTGGCACATTATGAAGCACAAAATACAATGATGCATACCCCAGACTGTTGAGCAACTGAAGTCACATATCAAGCAAGAATGGGAAAGAATTCCACCTACAAAACTTCATCAATTAGTGTCCTCAGTTCCCAAATGCTTATTAAGCGTTGTTAAAAGGAAAGGTGATGTAACACAGTGGTAAAACTACTCCTGTCCCAGCTCTTTTGGAACCTGTTGCAGGCATCAAATTCAAAATGAGTGAATATTTACAAAAAACAAAGTTTATCAGTTTGAACATTGTGGTGTGTTCAATTAAATATGGGTCAAAAAGGATTTGCAAGTTATTTTATTCTGTTTTTATTTATATTTTACACAATGTCCCAAATTCATTAGAGTTGGGGTTTGTATATATTCATAACCAATGTATTTCTCATAGTCAAAATCCCCACCCTCTGCTCCCCATCTGGTTCTCAGACTTTCCCACAAGTCCAAAATGCCCTGAAACACATGACACATCAGTGGTCACAAGAAAAAGAGCAAAGCTAAAACAAAATGGGGGTGAGTGAAAGAGGGGAGAGGTTCAGATTTGGAGGGGGACAACAATAAACAGCAGCACTGCTTTACATAAAATCATGGAGCTCAGCCCGCTGACCTGAACACAGCAAGAGGCCGATTTTCTCACTGCCTGTCATCCATACATGATGTCACCAGCTGCTGTTTTTGTCAGCGGAGTTACACCGCCATACCTACACTCCGCTCCTCAAACACACAATCTGACTCATTCTCACATGCTTGCTGAAATAATTCATTACAAAGCCATGAGTGGGAAAAGGAAGAGGAGCTGACAGCTGAGAAACAATTGAATCAGCCTTGAATAAAGGGGAGAATGATGGTCAGAGAGAAGAACTAACAAAGCTATAAGGTTATTGAAGACAGGGGCTGTAGGGTGAATGCAGTATGAGTACGGAAGAAGTAATAACATTAGGAAACATCATATTAATGAAGTATTGACATTATGAAGCAATTAGTTACAACAAAAATGACAGTGTACACACTGAACAAAGCTTACAAAGATTGATGCCACAGGAAATGCCTCATATTAATATCTTGTATCTTTTCATCAAACTGTGCATGTTGGAAACATTAAAGAGGAAATCAAGACAGACCAAAAGAGCTAGAATATGATTTTCTTTGTATTTATACTTGAGCCAGTAACTGGGACTGGAGCCTCCCTGTAGAGTTTCAAAATGAAGGATGAAATGTAAAAAAAAAAATAAAGATGTTGTGTTAAGTGATTAAATTTAGGAAGAGATTGGCCTGTGGTTAAAATACAACCAACCCAATAAAACTCCACAAGTGGTTCCCACCTTCTGCTTTTTGCTACCGAGTTATCTAAACACATATTGCTGTATTAGCGAGGAGGGAGCCCCCACAACCCCACAGGCCCTCATCTGTTTTTCGTCTTCTGCGTTGAAACTGCAAACGTGGGCTGATGTTGGGTTCACAGCGCTGTATGTGGGGCTTAAGGTGCAGCCCTGGCCTTCCTTGATTTTGCACCCTGCCCCTCCACTCCATAACCCCTGCAATCAGTTTGTCTTTGTGGAAAGCAAACCCCCTCTCTCATCCACAGTTTGCACAGCACACTCACAGGGGCACAAACTGTCTTCATATTGTCAGGGTACCCAGGGGGATAGGGTTCATATAAGGCTGTCCCTTTCTGTCTATGTAGCCAAGGTAGGACTCTCAACCTTCTAACTCTCCTCCATGACACTTATCTTGCTACCTCCCCTGTCACAGAACAAACACACAGCCTGCCCATTACCACAAACACAACTCTCCTTGTGCATAATTGGGCATAATATTATTAGATTAACTCTTGCATAACAGAATCCCATCAGTTGATGTGATCTTAAAGTAGAGTCTGCCCATGTAATTTAAGGTGGCTTTTCACTCTGATTAAATTTAACTGGTGAAGTGGCACTCGGTTTTGAATAAACACATGTTGCCATTAAGATGTCAGGAAAAGAGCTGGAGGAGGGTGAGGGAAGAGGAACTCTGGGAGGAAGGAGTATTAAAAAGCTCCAGCAGTCATAAATGTTTGCCTTGACAGTGCACGCTCACATTCAGGGGATTACTAGTACTTTTTCTTGTATTTGTTTCTCATCTGAGTCACACCTCACCCTAAGCTCAAAACTCTGTGTGCACATGCTTTCTGTTAGCTTAAATTCACATTCACACAGCATTACACAGCCAGTGGCCACACTTGATTATGCCTCTGTTTATCCTGACTTCCTGCCTGCCCTCTTCCTCCCATCCTCCCTCCGCTCAGCTGTGCTCAAGCTCTCATTAGGAGGACTCTAAATGAGCTGGACTGTGACACTAAAGGCTTTTCTTTGAGTTTTGCTCCAGACTTGGCTTTTTTTTTCCCCCCTGCATATTTTTGGCTCCATTCTCTGTCCAATAGTGCTACAGCTAACACTCAAAGTCGCAATGTAAGGTTGAGGCTTATGACATCGAATGTGTCCGGTTTGTTCTGCTGTGGTTGGATTTAACGCATGAAGTCAGCACAGTACAGGTGTTCTGGGACGAGCCCATGTCTGTATCCAGTGTGCATGTGTGTGTTATCTGTATCTGCTTCTATATGTGGGTCTGTTTTTTCCTGCGAGTGGCCACCTGCCCATCACCCAGAACTGCAGCTAGCTGGTGCTGGGTGAGTGACCTATCAGTCTCCTGCAGCGTTACAGCACAGTCTGTGGGAGGGCTGTAGTTTACCAGCGCAGGACTATCCTACATGTGCAACCAGATGGCCTGTCCAGGGAGTGTCCAGGGAGTTTTAAAAACTTTACTTAGGAAATGCATCAAAATGATTTTCTGGTATGATTTATAGTGTGGGGTGAGGGTTAAGAGAGTAGTTAGTGTTTGTTGGTTGTAATGACCCATTTAAAGCATCCTCCCAGGCTTCTCCTCATGTACCTGAGCTTCATGTGAACCCAAGGGCCAAGTGCTGCTGCTCAGCACAGAATGTTCTGGATATTTCTCAGACAGCTGTGCCTGCCTCCACTTTATAGCTTTAACTGTCTCTCCATTCTGAGTTATTGCAGGTATTCATATTAGGATTTATTACTCTATGGGAAAAACGAGTAAGCTCATGAAATGTTTTCTCAGCCTTTTTTTCATGCCCTAATTTCGCCTCTTTACTTCAACTTCAAGCTTTTTGAAGGCCTGAGTGTGTTTCTCATGGTGGTTTACAGCATTCACAGATGTCTTTGTAGCCAACACAACATTTTCCACAGATCTTACCAGCAGACAAAGATGTAAGTAAAAACATTTGAAGATAATTGTGAGTTGGTGATATGGAAGTGCAGCAGACTGATGCTATTATTGTTCAAAGCTCTTGCTCTCATGGTAAGATTGTGACTGATGTGTCTTATGTCTATGGGGTGCATGTGGGAGAGCATGTGGTTAGGCTTGGATTACATTCTATCATATTTTTTTTTCATACACAGCCCCATGAAGGAGACGTGTATCCTCACAGGAACAGACTATTTACATTTAAGGATTCCATTAATGACACTGTATTTTTAAGCATTTTAAAGTGTGATTTGACAACCCCTATATGTAACAGACATCTGCTGAGAGACAAGTCTCCACTTCATCATGTTTCATAATATTTGTCTAATCCTGGTTCTGGCAGGTTAGCTCAGCTCCATCCCTGCACCCCTGTTAGCGGCCATGCCCAGATGGTGCTTTATTAGGAAACCAAAAGCCAAGAAACAATAAACAAGCCTGGCTCCAGAGCTCAGATCTCTCCATCTGATCAGACTGACCTCCCTCAAATGTTTTTCTGGAGTGCTCCACTTTTCCTTTTCTTGCCTTTTTTCCCCCTTTAGCTTTCTGCTTCTCCTCAGATAGGACAGTGCAAGAATCAGATAAAGTTTAAGAGCTGAAATGTTTCTTCCTCTTACATCTATAAGAACTGACTAAACATTGACCCAGAAGATTTTCATCTTTTTGTTTTTACATTCATAATGTAAAAACATTCATACATTCAGGAATCTATTCCTTAGACATGCCCAAACAATGAACTTCATAAATTCATTCCTGTCTTTTGCCTGCACAGATGGCATCCTACACACCCTTCACTAGGTCAGTCTCATGTGTTGAATGTTATGACACAGTTCTCAGCACTTTATATAAAGTATATCCCGCTTTTCAGACTCCTGAGAAAAGCCAGAGAAGCATTTCTCAATGTTTTCTATCTGCAGCCAGAGTCTCAAGGAACAAAGTATCTAACCTCTCCAACCTCTCAGCCAGAGCTCACCAAGCTGCCTAGGCACATACACTCATACATGCACCTTCTCACACCCACACGCCATCTTGCTGACACTCTCCACAAACAAAGAAGCAGAATGAACTCAGTCGACATTTACCTTTTGTTACCAGTAGTGGGGGTGTGTTTCCTGCAGTTATAGTTTCACCTGTGTATTGTATTGTGTCTTCACTGAGCTGCAGTGTTCAGGACTCATCCCTCTGTCTTTGTCTTTGTCCCAGTCTTCTGAGGTGCTCCCCTTCACTCAGTCCTTCTGATCTGCAGCTGAAAATATAAGCCCTTTAGTCAAGGCCCTACTTCCGAAGATGTTCCCTCTCTCTGCGGACTCAGCTGTCTGGGGCTCCGACTAGGGCATAGTTCAAAAGCCGGCCACTTCAGCAGACTGAGTTCCTACCACTGATGCCTTGAGTTTTTCACAAAAGATGGGGGAGACTTGAAGTGGGAGGGCAAGAGGAGGAAAAGAGGGGAGGAGGAGGGGATGAGGGTGTGTGAGATTGCTTCTTTTTTTTCCTTTCTGTTTTTTGGAGTGGCCCAACCTACCTCTGATGTCACCCTGGTGGAAAAAGACAGAATAACAGAGCTGCCTCATTAAGTTTCCCATCCTCACCAGTGGCATTCATGCTTTTTTTTTTTTTTTGAAGAAGTGGATTGAGTGAAAGGATGTAAGACCTGTTTGAATTCAGAAGTGCTTTGGAGCAGTCACAAGCTGCTTTGACCCTTTTGTTTTCAACTACAACCTCCAGTTCTTCTTCTCCTTTAGCAATGGGAAGAGCTGATTGTAATGTTGCTGAGCAGCTTCCAGTTGATCTCGGCTTGCTCCATATCACCGCTGACCTTTCTGTTAATGTGTTTAATGTGTTTAATGTGTTTTTTTATGCAGACATCTTTGAAAGCTCACCTTTTTAAATAAGTGGCTAAGAGGAGCAGACAGGAGGGTGTGTTCTTCCCACTATGTGACAGCTGTCACCCTTAGGTTTCTAACTTAAGCCTTTTTATACAGGTTTTGCTGTGTCTGTGTACACAGGCCGCATATTTTTGTCCGAACCCAACCCTTGCTTGACGCAGTTGAGTTTGTACAGTGTCTTCCCCTTGTCATTAAACGTCCAAAACCCGACCCGGACCTCAGCATAAACTCTGTCTGAACCTGTCAGTTCAGGTATCCACACTCTCATCCCTGACAGGTTCTCAGAGCATCGGGTGTAGTGGTTAAACCTTTAGGATCCTGCTCTTCTGCTCCTTCTCCCTATCACTCACGTTACCACTCATATGGTTTTAAACAGCTTCTCCTGCTCTGAGTGAGATCAGATAAGGTTGTGTTTTTGTGTGTGTGTGTGTGTGTGTGTGTGTGTGTGTGTGTGTGTGTGTGTGTGTGTCTGGGGTCCCGAAGATGAAGTGTGGCCCTTTTATTTGTTGGATCTGGTCCTGCAGTTCTGTTGTCATTGTTTATTTTTACATCTGCAGTGTTGTGAATGTGTGTGCACACATCCGTGAGTACAACGCCATTTGCCAAGAAGGGAGAGGTGCTGAGGGGTACTGAGGGGTGTTACATAGTCTGCTGTTTGGTAACTTTTCTTACATTTGCATTCAGTCTCGACGTTGGGGTGTGAAAGAAATGTTGAGCAGGAGAAAACGAAGGGAAGAGGAGAGTTGAAGGGAACACACACCATCAGTTCACTTCTGAAGCTTGTTAATGTCTCTTCAGAATGGTGGGAGGCTGCTCCTGGGTTTGTCTCTGAACATCAATATTTATGTAATGAGAGACTAAGAATCTTGGCTCTGTGCCAAGTCTGTCAAAAAGAAGCAACAAGAGAGGGGACAGGAGAGAGAAATGGCCTTCAGTTGGAGAGGCTGAAGAGAAGCTCAGCCATCCACGCAGGCCACTTAGTGGCGTTTAAATCCAGGAGGAGCACATCAGGATAAAAATAGCCTGTTAGAAAATTCAGCAAAGTGTATGCAAATAGAGAGTGTGTAGGGTTCTTGTTCCAGTTTGTTTTATGTTTTAGCCCATATTGAACAAGCAGTTTGCTGTTACCAGTTGATTTCACACCAGGAAACCCCACAGCCGCATCATGCATTCAAGGAAATCTGGTCCTGTCACGGTGTCCAGTCTTGTTTGTGCCTGTTTATTTGATTTGCAATGAGCTGAGCTCTCTGTGGACAGTGAGGAAAATCCTCATGTTCCCCTCTGGTTGTTTAAAATAATCTTCAACAGATGGACACTGTCCTCATTTGGCTTGCACTGAGGCCCTCAACTCATGAAAGGATGAGAGCACAAGGCAGGATGGTTGTGTATTTCTCCTGGTTTGATGTAACATGCTGTATCTCCTTCTGTCTGCTGCTCTATTTCAGGGATGTACCTGTCTGACCTGACATATATAGACTCAGCCTACCCCTCCACAGGCAGCATACTGGAGAACGAACAGAGATCAAACCTGATGAACAACATTCTCAGAATCATATCAGACCTGCAGAGATCCTGTACCTACGGTGAGTTTAGACACACACACACACACACACACACACACACACACACACACACACACACACAGCCACTTATTCATAGCAGGGTGGCGTAGTGCCTGCTACGACTAGGAGACTAGAGTCTCAAATGCAGGTCTTCACTGAACACTGAGATCTGATTGTGTCTGTCGTGTGGAGGAATAAAAATTAACAGAGGAGGAGGGAGTCCATATAAAAGCAGTATCATAACTTTGTCCCTTCATTTCTGTTGCCATGACAACTACATGAGATTCTGTGCTATCCATCAATACTTTTGACATTTGAGCAAGTTGAAGTAAACATACTTTATTCAGGATCAATGAGCATTCTAGCATCAAATCAAGATGGGAAGGATGCATTTCCTTAAATTTGTACAGATATAGGTCTTTAATTTCAAACAATTTAGCCATATACATTGCTTGACATGCCTTTACCCATCATGTTTTTGTTGTAGAACCTCCAGCATATGGCTAGTAGGCATCCAAGTAATTTTTATATGCAGACAAATCATGCATCTGTGGGTTGAAAACATAGCTCCATGAAAATTAATGACTGATGGTTGAAAAGGTTTATGGACAGAAAGCACTTATAAATGAGATGCAGCTGTTACTTTACAGAGCTCAGGCTGCTGCTCCGTATCGAACCTGTACTTGAGCTCCCTAGAGGACTATTATTAATTCATTATTAATAAATCTTGTTCCAGACACCATCATCTACAAATCATGCATAAAAGGAACAGACCAATAAAACAATCCAGCAGTGCAGTTTAAAAAAGAGCGGAGGGTTTAAATGTATATTACTCAACCCCTATGACCTCATGTTTTTGACCTAATTTCCAACTTTTAAGAATTCGTACTGATACAGGCACAAATCAGTTCTACTGAATTTGCATTGTGTATCATCTGCCAGAAGGCAATAACATGCTTGGGATCACATGTGCACTTTATGTTCCAGTGTGTTCTTATGTCTGTCATTATCTTCCCTCTTTCAGATATACCAGTGTTGTCTCATGTGCAGAAGTATCTGAACTCAGTCAGGTATATTGAGGAGCTGCAGAAGTTTGTGGAGGATGAAAATTACAAGTAAGAGCAGAAATAAGATACAAACAGCAACACCAAGCTTTTGTCACTGGAGCATTTTCCTTTCACAAAAGTTAAAAATTGATTTTGAAACTCTGCTTCTAATTTTACTGCTTGTTGTCAGCCACAGTAATCATCTGTTTTTACCCCCCCCCCCCCAAAAAAAAATCATCCCCACAATTGTTTATATAATGAAATACACAGTGGATGAATTCAGGCTGATGGAAACATTTCGCTTTAATTAGGTTATCGCAGAAGATTGAACCAGGCACCAGCACGCCACGAGCAAATGCCTCCAAAGAGGATCTTGTTGGTGAGTTTCAGTGTAGCTCTCTAGTGGGTGTCAGATGTTGAATAAAGCTGTTTATCTTCTTAGTACCTCCCTGTTCTTCCTGATGTGTACATTTGTGGTTCCCTCCCGCTTTGAACTCCAGGGCAGGAAGCATCAGCATCTCCTCTCTGCAGCCGTAAGAGTACAGTAGCAAGTGAAGGACCCAAAGTCCCAGCCACACCTCCCTCGCCCAGGAATTTACTTCCCTATGGACACAGGAAGTGCCATAGCCTGGGCTACAAGTCAGTGTTTGACATACGATATCTCGGTGCTTTGATAGATGATGCTCTACAAACCGCACAGAATTTACACACCAAATGTCCAAGTGTAAAAACACCAACACCTGCTGTCTGCTGGGTTTTGTGTCTTCACAGCTTTATCCATAAGATGAATACAGTAGAGTTTAAAAGTGCTACGTTCCCCAATGCTGGCTCTCGCCACCTGTTGGACGACAGTGTGATGGAGAGCCACAGTCCCACCAGGGGCCAAGCAGAGAGCTCAACTCTGTCCAGTGGTATTTCACTTGGTAAACATGTTTACTTCATAACAGCAACTTGCTTGTCCTGAACTGTCTATTCAGATCTGTCCTGGTTGGTGGTGGAGGAAAGGCTGAATTTAAGTTATAATATGTATCCTAAAACAGTCAAAGTGTATGTTTGTAAGAATAGTTTTTAGTAGGAATAAGCACTGTTACAGAACTAAACGAGTGACTATGAATAAGGCGACTCTTCAGCCTACTATAGAATGAATGCTTTAAGGAAAACTGCTCCATACTGAACAACTACTGTATTGAATAAAATGATTTGCCATCATTTATCCGGGACTCACTGAGGAAATGTGTTTTTAATAAGTCACACACAGACTAGACAGACAACATACTAAATGGGAGATGGGCTGACATCAGTTTTATGTGGTTAACATGGTGTACTGTTGATTACCTGTACTGCTGATTGATCTATCTAATTGCTTTATGCTTGTTGTTTTTGTTTTTAGCTGCTAAATTTGCCATGAAATAATAAGGGAACGTAGAAAATGGGGGACTATGTATGATTAGCTGTAATTCCTGAACAGCTAATGCAATATTTTTGTGAAGCCCTTGAATTAAAGCTGAGAGTCTACACTTTAATAATATATTGACTGCTACATTTCAAATCCACTGAAGTGGTACAGGGACAAAATTACAAAAATCATCCTTGTCCAAATACTTACAGACCTGATTGTACGTATATGTTTGGGAGTTAATTTAATGTATTGTAATGATTAATTTGTGGTAGTTACTTTTTCCTGTGGACCCCAGGAAGAATAGCAGATGTATTGTAGCAGCTAATGGGGGGTCCAAACTGACAAATAACATCTTCATTAACATGCTGTTCATTATTTGTGATCATTTGTGTCTTGGTACAGGGAGCAGTGATGGCTCAGAGCTCAGTGAAGAGGTGTCGTGGCCAGCTTTTGAGAGGTAAAGTTAAGACATCCACGCTGGCAATGCTTTCTATCACGTCCACATGCAAAATCATGAAATCCCCCCCATTCTCGATGTTATTGTCTAATTTCTAAATATGTGGCTTCAAGACACAGCTCTGCAAAACCATGTGCCTTTAAATGTCACACACCGTGCACTGCCTTGCTTTAAGTGTCGCAGCCAAGCCCATTGTGCCTCATCTGTTCACTGCTGCTCTCAGATGCTTCTGTGGCAGCCTGAAATGTATTAAGTGCTTAACATTTAAATCCCCTAACCAGCAGTCCCACTGTGCCAACAAGTGCTTGGAGCCACACTCGCCAGTGCTGAAATGAAAACTCACAGCTCAAGCATCTGCTGGTTTGAAAATCCATGTTAATCTTCATTCCCAAACACCATTCTTTAAACTTTTGAATAACCCTGTAAACACACATCCATTAGTAACTCTTCTAACCAAAATGATCATTTCTGCTTCATCCAGTCGTAACAATTGGAAACAATTTGAAGGAAAAAAACAAAGCACCAAGAAAAGCCCTCCCACACAGCCTTAACAGTGTCCCGTGCCCCCTATTCTGTCCTGTCTTATCCTATTCTGAACAGGACTCGATTCTATCACTCTCTGGGCCCAGTGACCCGAGTGGCCCGCATCCCCTACAGAGGAGTCCTGAGGCCCAGCAGGTACATACATCCTGACTGTAATCAGCCTGATCTGAACCAAAACTTCTCTTATTCTCACTTCACACCCCTCAGCTCCTGCAAGGAGCTGTTGTGTGTTGGCACGTAGTGTGTGTAGTGCTGGGGTAATTTTGTGTTGTGTGTTGGTCAAATCACAAATAAGGCGAAGGACAAAGGATTTGTTTGGGCTTATGATTTTATTTTTCTGCTGTCTACAATCTACCTTTTGCTTTCTTGAATTTGTGCATGTATGCCTCACACATACTCACACACATAGAGCTTAAAGGCAGCCTGGGCTTCATCTTGTGATACGTTTCCAAGACATTTTACAGCTTGGAGCTAAAAATGAGTTTCTACAGTCAGACTGAGCTCCATGTGTTATTGGAAGCAAACTGTTACATCCTCATTCCTAAAGCAGAGAGGAACAGACTCTGCAGGGTTACTGGAGCCAATTCTCATGAAGGCTGCATTTCAGGCATCCCTTGGTTGGGGATGTTTCTCTCCCTTTGTCTCTACCAGGCTTCTCTGGGCTCCTACACTGGGCTTTCTGCTCTACTCCTCTACACAGCCACAATCTTCATAGCACCATGCCCATCTCTGCTCTTTTTCTGCAAATAGCAATGTTAATATTTATATCTCTCAAATTCTATTCTGTGATAAATGGGCAGAAATAGATGTAGTTGTCAAAAGGAAGCTTTGCAGATTGTGTCTTGTGCCTTTACTACTAGCTCCTCTCTGATTTGATCTAGTATGCATGTGTGCACGAGAACATTCGTGTTTTCTTGTATGTACGTTTGTGCACTGTTTATAGCTTGTAATGTTTGTCTTGTTGCAGCTCAGCGGAGTCGGAGGAGCTTGCAGTTCACCTGTATCCCGGAGCAGTCACGGTGCAGGGGGTGTTGAGACGTAAGACTATGCTCAAGGAGGGCAAGAAACCAACAGTGAGAACACACACACACACACACACACTCATTTTTATATTTGCACTGATATTTTCCTATTTTCCTGGAGCTTCTTACGCGTTTTTCCCCAGTTATTACTGTTGTAGTGTAATACAGCCGCTAATACCTTCAGAATAGGGGCCCTATGGCCAGGTGGAATCTCTTCATGCCAGGAGGATTAATCATTACTTTAGCCCCATCTCTTAATGCTTTCTTTTCCTTGTATTAGTATTAATAGCTTTCAACACTGAAGATTCTAAGTTAGAAAAGTTCACTTGCTCCTAATTCGTACAAGGCACAGAAAAGTCATTCATTTCTTTCATTGCTTTTCTAATCATCTTTCTGCCTAAGTAATGCAGCCCGAAAACAAGACATGAAATAATCTCACAAAAACATTCCTTACTTTACTTTTTTAACAGGATTTGACAGCTAGATAGTGTGAAGGATGACAAGATTTTACCTTTGTGCTTGCAGGTGGCATCTTGGACCAAATATTGGGTTGCTCTCTGTGGAACCCACCTCTACTACTACCCTGCCAAGTCCCTGAAGGCCACTGAGAGAAAACATGTAAGTCCCACTCTGGCCCATCACCACAGTGTGTTTAATGATCTGAGGATGCACTCATGACATGCATCTTTGCAGCAGGTGATAGAAAGTCTGGAGATGTTGCTGTGTTTGTTTAAGGCAGCTGAGAACAATAACAGATACTACAAAATTACATTGACACTTCTTCAAGCCTTAGACCTCTTCCATATTAACTGCTGCTGTTGTTATTGTTGAGAGTAAAAGTCAATGTTCCAAATTACTCCCAACACTCAGTTCTATATGGATATGACACACTAGAGCAGGTATGGGCAAACTACGGCCCGTTAGGCTTTTTAATCCAGCCCGCCGAACTTGTCCAAATAAACCTCATTCGTTTTGCCTGTTCCCTACAATGCCTGCGTTTCCCCAGTAGATGGTAGATCACTGCATTATTCATCATTTATCAGGAATATCTGTGTAAGTCTGTATTGCAGCTTAATCATGTCAAGAATCCAGTCGTAAAACTTGTTAACTTTATACGAGCAAGGGGACTTCAGCACCATCAGTTTATTGCGTTCCTGAAGGAAACCGATGTGGATCACCAGGACTTACTTTACCACTCTCAGGTCTGCTGTTTAAGTTTGGGCAAAGTGTCAAAGATTAGCGCATTTTTGGAGTTAATGGGGAAATCCGACAAATTTCCTGAGCTGAGCAACAAGAACTGGTTTTGTGACTTTGCGTTTGCTGTGGACATTTTTTCACACATGAATGAGCTGAACGTGAAGCTACAGTTTGTGCACGACATGTACACAAATGTGAGAGCCTTCAAATCCAAGCTGACATTTTCCAGACAAATTTCAAACAAATCTTTTGTTCATTTTCCCACACTAGCCATGGAGAAAGAGGCCACGCGAAACGCAAAGAAATACAGCAAATCACTGGACGACATGTGTACAGTACAGTAAGCCTTGCATATTCACGCTTTGCTACCTGTTAAAGGCCAAAACCTTTTATATAATGGCCTTTATATGTCATTTATATTAGTTCACACTAACACTCCATCCTTCTGCTCCTGGCCCGGCCCCTTTGTCAAATTTTAAAACCCATTGTGGCCTGCAAGTCAAAAAGTTTGCCCACCCCTGCACTAGAATCATTCATTGTTATAAAGAATGAACTCATGAAGAAGAAACACGGAGAAGTGTTTTGCCAAGTGGTTTTACATTGTGTCCACAGGAAAAATGCAGATGAGAACATTTACAAAATTTTGAGGTTGCTGTAGAATAATTTAAAACAAGTGGAGAGCATTGACAGTGTATCTTGCCAGATGTGCTTGTGTATGAGAGCGTTTGGACTTCATCAGTTTGACAGGGATATTTACTGAAACTTTGTGGGAGCTCTAAGGAGAACATAGGGGAGAAAGGAGGCAGGAGAAATGAGGAAAACTGGCTAAAAAAGTAGAGTTAGTGAATGGATGTGAAGTAATTGTTTGTCTGGAGGGGACTGGACTGGGTTTAATGCAGCAGGGAGACAGACAGATGGTAGCACTCACTGAATAATGAGACCAATGACATCACTGCAGCCCTGCGTGTCACTCACAGGCTAATGAGAACCTTGTGCCCAAGCAAAGTCAGGGCAACATCCAGAGGTTTTACACACACACACACACACACACACACACACAGAGAGAAAGAGAGCTTGTGTTGACATTTCTAGCATTTAGACACAACAGGTTTGTTATGAGAAGGAAAATCAAGTCTGTTTCCTCTTGTCCCCTGTCCAGTTCAAGTCAACGTCCAGTAAGAGTGTGTGTGTGGTGGGTCTAATGGCCATGATGGCAGATGACCCTGAGCATCCTGATGTCTTCTTGCTGACAGACTCAGAGCACGGTGGGACTCTCTCTCTCTCTCTCTCTCTCTCACACACACACACACACCTCTCGCTCGCTCACACACACACACACACACACACACACACACACACACACACACACCCAAGGAAAAACATATGGAAATGATTAATACAAGCTATCAATCATGTCTAAGAACTCCTAGTAAATATGTGACCTGTGGACAAGTAGAGCTTGGTTACACACACACACACACTCACACTCACACAAATTCAGTGAGCAATAAGTCTATTTGTCAGCTTAAGTATGTGACCACTGGCTAGTCGTATCTGGTATTTTCCATGTTAACGTTTTGTTTATGTGTACACACACAAACCGGCTGACTCTGTCCTGAACTTTTCCACTGTAACTTTGGCCTGTCCAGTAAAATAAAATCATTGTCAAGTGAGGCTCAGCCATATTTCCAGGCTGCACGGGAAAATGAGAGACTTGGTGTCTGATGCCGTTTGTCTCCACTGTCCAGGTAACACCTACAAGTACCAAGCAGGGAACAGAACGAACGCTTTGCTCTGGTTCAAACACCTGAGTGCAGCCTGCCAGAGCAATAGACAACAGGTATGGAGCTGCACAAACACTCATGTACACACACCGTTGAATACCACCCACCTTTTAACACGTCACCTTTTTTCCCAAGGTGCCAGCCAATCTGATGTCGTTTGAGTGACCGACACTGAGGCACATGACTGAGCAAAGGAGAGAGGGATGAGGAAGCAGGCAAGAAGGATGAGGAGGAGTTCTGACTCCGTAGTGGAAGCTTTCACTGCCATGAGCCCTGACCACCGATTCTCCGGTTCTAGCCCTGGCCTCACTGCAGCCTCACCTGCCACCACTGCCTTAACCTGAGTACCCTGTGTCTGTGTGTGTGCTTGAATATATGAGAGCAGATCTGAATCTGTGCTCACGGATGAATTGACTGTTTTGGATGTACTGACTACTGAACAAGGACCTGTACCACTGCTCTTGTCTCCCATTTGCTCAGTGTCTTGGTTTTACTGCGAGTATTCAGCACTTCAACAGAACCGTTCGACTTCTCCTCTCCTCTCTCACAGACAGACCTCAGATGGACAGAAATAATCCCCTTTGTGTTTTTTAAGGGAGTATTTTTATTTGTGTCCCCACTGTGCTCAAATGCATGATTTCTACCTTTTATTCAGCTGGACACACATCACACATACATCAGACTAACCTGTTGGACTTGGAGGCTTTTTTATTTTCACATTTTGTACTTACTTGGTTCACACTTTCAATTGTTGGTCTTCACTTGGAGTCACAGAATACCAAACATGAAGCACACACTCCCACTTTAACACACACGGGCGTATTAGATTGCATCATTATAAATGGGAGGTCTCTGATTCGCAGTTGATTCCAGCATAAACTGTTCCCACACTTCCTGAATGTAACTAGTTTTTATTACAGAACTGCCCCCCCCCCCTTTTTGGGGTCATATTTACTGAGTATTCTGTGTGTATACATACATTGGGTGAAGAGTGAGAAGGGAAATGTTTGCCTAAATTACAGGAATCTTGTCTGCGTCCCACACTGGTACGATAATCCCAGGATCTAAGCTACAATGTGCTCATGGCCGGGTAGCTCTTTATTCTTCAGTGACATCTGTCCGCTGCCATGAGGTGATGTTTGGTTCATCTGTCTCACAAACATGCTAAACACTAAAGACTTGAAACTGTGAAGGAGTCCAAGAGAGAGCAACAAGAACTTGTAACAATTTTATCTCCATTTCTTGGTGTCGCCTGTGGTCTGGAGCAGAGGCTTAAAGCTACCTGGAGCCATACAGACTCTGAACCTGGTTTGTTTATGTTGTTTTGTGTCATTAGTTTCTTTTGCTTTTTGGGAGGGGTGGTGTAGTTCACAGTATTACCATTGCATGTCAATTTAAGTTTGTTTTTGTGTTTTTGGTTTTCCTCACATTTTTGGAGCAGTTGTTTTAAATATTTTATGTACATGTGAATTTATTTTTTTGTCTTTTTTGCCCTTTATTCTATTAACCAGGACCCAGCTCAATTTTAGGCCCTGACCATGTTGCATTAGATTTGGAAATAGTCTAAGCCCCTTGGTTATAATTAGTGCCAAGTGATGTTGCTGTCACTGTTTTCCTTAAGCATGAAGCAATGTCAGAAAGAATGGAGCTGAAGTGGGGAACACCTGGGATCACAGTCTCTAGTGTGCATCACAGATGTTTCAGTGTGCCACAGATAGTCTGTTGCTGTTAGTTTTTAAGCAACCGTGATCAGGATGATAGGATATAGCAGTGAAGGGGGTATTATTTTGCCCATAATACTCATCAAGTCCTCATCTCTGTAAAAAAAAAAAAAAAAAAAAAAGCCGCTGTTTACATTGTATGTTTACATAGTCTTTTGTACAAAATCAGTCTCTTTACTGGTCCACATATACTCTATCTACTGTAGGGAACATCCTGTGTAGATACAGATATTCTGCCTGTCAGAGGGGCATATTTAATGCAGAGTTAGTTTCAGGCTTTTGATAAAGGATGATGGGATGGAGAGGTGGGCATATCCACGTTTGCATTGGATCCTCTGTGTCCAATCTGATGCATTAAAACTTCTCAACACAACATAACCAATCCTAAAATTAAACTTGGCTCATTTGTTTAGGTCAGACAAACATTATGAACTGAGACGGAGTCCGTTTAGTCCACATCATATGTGCAGACCTTTGTATATTAAAAGAGAGATGGTAGCAGATGATCCTGTGGAAGAACAAATAAGGAAGCCAAAAACAGTCATATGGTATGTAATGCAGTTATGCTCACGTATGTGCACACATTAGTGTGCTTGTGTGTACTGCTTTATATTTTTTTTTAACATTTCATAATTCAAGCCAGATAGGCTAATCCCCAGAGGCTGCCGTTGCTGCTGAGCAGTGGGGTGAGGTAACCAAATACCTAATTATCCATTTGACTGACAGCCAGCTCGTGCTGCGTCTACACACTGGCTTGAAGTGAGTAAAGGAGGACATGTGAGCAGATAGGAAGTGGAAAATATTGTATTCACCTGTGTTCGCTGTAGCTGCAGAAAGGAGCAGAGAGGTGGCACAATCCCAGAGTCCTACAGAGGCTGGGTGTTAACTGATGTTTGAATACAGCTGGTTGGCCAGGGGCAAAGAGGGCTATGAATTCAATAAGTTAAATCTGTGAGGCAAAATGTAGTTGCTTTCTTTTTTTACTAACATATTCAGACAAGCTTATGCTTTCAAAGTCAGTGCAGTTGAACAAGAATATATACTGTCTCAGAAAACTCCAGGATGTGCAAAAAGGACTGTGGACCCTTTGGTAGCCAACATCCCCATCACATGTCTCTGTTTGCTTTATCACATGTTGCTTGAGAATGATGAGAGAAAATGAAATTAAATGATATAACAGATTCCTGAGTTGCAACTTTTATACCTAATCTGACCAGAGATGTGTTTTGGGGGATGTCTTGGAAGGTTTATTTGGGTTACACAGATCATGTGACATGCTCACTGTTACCTGGGTTTACATGACTGTCTTTTTGGAAGGTTTTAAAGTATCATTTCTGTACAGTGTATGGTCAGAAGGATGAACTCACTTGTTTCATTCTTGGAGTGTGGTTTTACTCGACCGTATTCTTGGATTTCAAGGTAAATCACGTCTAATTCAAGAACCCCATGTTCATCTATTTTGGAATGAGTTGGAAAATCAAATGTCAGATATCAAGTGTCTCCTCACTTATGACTCTTTTGGTTATTACAAAGAAACTTGATGCCATGCTTGAAATGTCCTTTCTCTGTGGTCAGACTTCATGTTGCTTCCTTTAAACTGACCATGCTCTTGACAAATGCACAGATTGCCCTGTATTAACTGTTTTTGAGTGAATTCATTTTTTTAATGGTCATGAAAATGTTTAACAGCTGAGATGAAAGGTTCAGCCAGAGGAAATGTTTTCATTGTGGTGTTTGTACTCTGATTTGGTGGAGAAGTGGAACTAATGTGAATCTGTGCCTCCTGTGCACTGAACAGGCATTGTTCACTGTTTACCAAGGACATCAACAACCTTTGTTCAGGTCATCAAGGGTGACAAGGGTAGTCCATTACCTGGATCTGTGTGCATCTGTCTCTGCCCATGTCATGACTGTGGTGAGTGCTATGACCTCTTTGCTGAGTGATGTGCTGCCTGGTGTGAAGACTGAGAACCAATAAACACACTGTCCTTTTTTTTTTTACTCCACACATCAGTTTCATGCTCATTGCTCTGCTGAAAGTTGGGACTGTGTATTGAATCGTTGTTACATAACTAAATACCATTTGCCCTGTGGGGTTTAGTGCTCTATTGACTAAAAATATAAGAGTGTTTTTCCCCCCAAAGTAGCCTATATTTTAAACAACTGTCCACTTACAGTAAGTAAAGGATCGGACTAAGGAGATTTAAAATAATGCTGACAGTTAAGAGCTTCTTCATAGTATTGAAAAGCAGCAAAAGGAAAGGTTTTTCAGACTTCTTTGTCATCTTTTCTTATGACTTACTGAATTAAAAAATCTAATAAAGAAAAAAACAGTCTTTAGTTGAACTGGTTACAAGCTGTCAGCATGAGGGATCCCAAGTAGACAGACCTCTGTTAAAGGGTTGCAATTTGAAAAAAATGGGGGAAACTGTGTTAGACATTGTAATACTTTTCTGAGTAACATTCCCTCTATTTAGCATTTGTAAGCAAGGTATAATTAATAAATTGTTTATAAATCTTTGTAATGTAGTTGTGAGTAAATTTAAGCTTGTACTTTGTATTTGTAAACAACTATTTCTGTGGCACCCATAAGTGGAAACTGTTGTATAACTAGACATTATAGACACTACAAGCTAAAAGACAAGGAACACTTCACAAACTCTGACCCCCGATCTATGTGGAAGGGCATCCAGGTAATCAGTGACTACAAGCTCAGCAACTCCACCCCAGCAACCACAGATGTCGTCTCCTTCAACGAGCTAAATGACTTCTATGCTCGCTTCAACAGGGGCAACAAGGAGACAGCTATCAAGTTTAGACCTTCCGCAGACCACCAGCCACTCGCACTCACCTCCACTGACATGCTGCTCTGAGCCGGATCAACGTACGCAGTGCTGCTGGCCATAATGGTATTCCTGGACGTGTGCTCAGGGCATGTGCAGGACAGCTTGCTGGCGTCTTTATGGACATTTTTAACCTGTCCCTCGCCCAAGCAGTTGTGCCGACATGTTTCAAAACCACCTCCGTTGTGACAGTGCCGAAACATTCCACCCCAACGTGCCTGAATGACTACCGCCCTGTAGCACTCACACCCATCGTCATGAACTGCTTTGAGGGCCTGGTCCTGGCACGCCTGATGACCTGTCTCCCACCCACACCGGACCCCCACCAATTTGCTCCTTAACACAAACAAGACCAAGGAGCTCATTGTGGACTACAGGAGGGAGAAAGGAGACACACACAGCCCCATCCATATTAACAGGATGGTTGTTGAACATGTCTCCAGCTTCAAATTCCTGGGGACCCACATCTCAGAGGATCTGTCCTGGACCACCAACACCCACAGCCTGGTTAAGAAGGCTCACCAGCACCTCTTCTTCCTGAGGACACTGAAGAAGAACTACCTGTCTTCAGCCATCCTGGTGAACTTCTACAGCTGTGCCATCAAGAGCATCCTGAGTAGCTGTATAACAGTCTGGTATGGAAACTGCTCTGTCTCCAACCCCATGGCGCTGCAGCAGGTGGTGAAAACTGCCCAACGCATCACAAGGACTCCACTTCCAGCCACTGAAGATGTCCACAGAGAATGTTGTCTCCAACGTGCTCGCAGCATTCTCAAGGACTCCTCTCACCCTGCTCACAAACTGTTTGACCTCCTACCCTCTGGGAGGCTCTTCAGGAGCCTCCGGACCAAGACCAGACTGAGGAACAGCTCCTTCCCCACAGCTGTCTCCTTACTGAACTGTTGACCCCCACTGCCTTCTTCTATACCACTTCCACATCTCACCCCTTCTCACCTCTCCTCCTGGGACTAATGCAATATGTTTCTGTTACCTGTAACACTGACGTGAACTGGTAATTTGCACATACTCACAGGATACTGCTCTGTATTCATTTGCACACTGTTCATATGCTGACAATATATATTTATCTTTATCTTTGCACTAGTTACAGCCATTGAACTGTTAACTCATGTAACTTCTCTTCTTATTCTGCACCGTCTCATTCCATCTCATCCCATTGCACTAGTGTTCCATAAGCTGAATGTGCCTTGTCCATTACTTGTAATTTGAATCTATAGTCTGTTGTACATTGTACATTACCCTACATACTGTATCTTACTGTAAATATCAATTGTACATATCAATAAATTAGTTCTAACTGTACAGACTGTAGATACTGCACACTCTGCACTTCTGGTTAGATGCTAAACTGCATTTCGTTGCCTTGTACATGGGTAATGACAAAGTTGAATCTAATCTAATTAAACAGTTTTATAAAATATCTTTATAAAAGCTGTTAAATGTCCACCCGCTTAAAGGCAATCTGTGTTGTAAAACATGTATTACTGCTGTTAATAAATTCAAAACAGGGGACTTAACTTCCACCTGTACCATACGCCATCTGTGGGGATATTTGCAATTATACATGGCGCAACGCTGCCCCCTGGTGGTCAGGTGGAGCTTCTACAGGATGGAAGGGTTTAGGAAGTGGACACGGCAGAGTCGAAGGAAAAGGGCGGAGACAAGGGAGCTAACGTTGAGATTGAGAAAATGACGAACCATCGCGACTCTCTTAGCAGTGGGATAATTATTTACATGCGAGTTCCGTGTTGGAGGACTTTATAGGTACCTGGAAGTTGTTTTCTTTGTGCGTGGCGAACGGCATGTGGCCGTAAGGTAAGACAGCTCATTCGGTTCTTGTAACCACAACAGATAACGTACAGTAGCTAGCTGTCGGTTAGCGTTAGCTAACTGTTGACCTGCACAGTAAGGAGTACAGGGGTTTACCAAACAGATAACCGCAGCTGCATCTGTGTGAGCATGTTGTTACAGCTGTATGACACGAATAATGCATGTGATGTAGATGGAGTGTGATGGTGTAGCCGTGATTAAGACGTTTTAGGTGGTTTTTATGCGGTCAGAGCTACCCAGCCGTTTCCTCACTGGTGTTTAAAAAAACAGCAGCTTCACCATGAAAGACCGATTGTGTGTGGAACGTGTATGTCTGTCTGGCCACAGCTGTGGATTTGTTATCAGTAATGTTTTCACCTGCTACTGGTTAGCTTGTGGCACAGTTTTGTTGACATGACGCTAACGCCCGATAATCAGCGTGACCTGAACTGCCCGATAGACGTGGCAGGTAATTTGACAGTCGGGTGTGAAGGCTTACAACGTGTGACGCCGTACAAAGCCACATTTCAGCACATTTTGTAAATGTGTTTAGCTTTAGCAAACAGGTGGACTCAGCATGAGTCGTTGTAATTGCACGAAGTATCACTGCGGCTCAGGCCATTTATCTCCGGAAACGTTCGAGTTGTGCTGGCTCACCGCGCTCCGGACCCCCCGTGTACCACAGCAGGACTACGTGTCCAACAGCTCCTCACTGCAGGGGGCTGAATACAACACAGACCTCTCCCGTTGCCCAGAACCAGTGCTGCCTGGAGAGGCAGTGAGTTTATTACCTGACACAAGGTCGTTTGTCTCAGCGTTAGCACTGCTCAGCCTACGCTGTCGCTGCACATAGTTAAAATGGAACAGCTAGCTTTGCTAGCTTTGCGCACAGTGCCACTTTTTAATGCGTACACATATTTACACAGAGCAGTGTGTTATCCTAATGTTATTACATATGCTGGACAGGGGGAAACAAGCCCAAACTGTAGCAAATCAATCAGCTTTCCACATATTATTGACAGTTCATTGTCAAACCTCTCTCCAGGGCTTCCAGGGGTCCTTAAAACGTCTAAAATCCAATCATCCTTATATGATCCTTATAAAGTCTTAAAATGCATCAAATATAATTTTGATTGGTCTTAAATGATTGATTATGGTGAGGTTTTTCATTTTAAACGTTCAGTTAATTTGTGTAGTGTTGTGTTTTTGGTGAGGTTTTTCATTTTAAACGTTCAGTAAATTTGTGTAGTGTTGTATTAACTTCAGGTTGTGTTTTTGGGAAAATGTTAGGTGACAAATACTACTGCCATTGTAGCTCTGTACATTGGTAACATGTTGTAGTTGTTTCTCCAAAGATTCCTTGCAAAGCAATATTCATCAATATGAATACTCGGCTTATTGTACATTCTTTTTGGGCCAGACAAGTTTATTTATATGTCACATTTTCAATTGCCTAACACAATGCATATAGATAGAAAAAACAATAAAACACCTATGTAGATAAAACATTGAAATGCAAATGAAAAGTAACAATTACATGACAGCACAAAGTCACAACATGCATTTGTATGGCAGATACCAAGTGCTTTTACAATAGCTGTGGCAGACTGTGGATTCTCACTGTTGTCACTATACTTGCACCCCTTTACTTCAGTCTTCTCAAGACTAGCCTCAAAAGTAAAATACTCCAGAGGTGGACATACTTTCTTCTGGAAAACCTGACACATCAGTGTCTATGCAGTCAGCTAAATGGCACAATAAAGTCAGTTGGTCATTGGGTAATGGAAGAAAAATAACAGAAAGAAGTGCTAATTTGGGTGGAATTAACATTAAAACATTAATGTTTAGCAAGTATGTGAAATGGGTCTTAAATTGCATACACTGAGGTCTCCAAAAAGTCTTAAAGTCTTAAAATTTAACTTGATTAAACCTGCAGAAATCCCATTTGTAAACTAATAAAGGTTTATCTTATCTCTCATTCTCATTTCCCTGCTTCTCCTCTTCCTTTCCAGCCCTCTCTTATTTCTGTTTCACACCCTCCAGGTGACTGCCTGTTTGCTGAGATTGTAGCTCCAGGAAAACGACAGCAAAGCTTCCATTTGTCTGACGGGGGCGGGAGGGTGGGTGACGGAGAGTTGCAGGGGCCATGCATCAGGGGTAAGGGGCGATTTGCTACAAGGGAAACACACAGCATCAGGTGAGAAGGGGGCGGGTCAGTGTGGAGATGAAGCTCAAACAGCGCATGGTGGTGCTGTGTGCCGTGCTCCTCCTGCTGGGCCTGGCCAAGATCTTTCTGCTGGATGGAGGTGAAGGGTCTGCAGCGAGCCGACGGGACCTCAGAGCGTTTCGTAAGGTCAGGGTGCAAAGCTGACTCAGTTTCAGTTAGTTTAGAATATACAGCTTATATATGTAACAGAGCGGCCACTGAATAGACCGATAAAGTAGGGTGGTCATCTCTCCAGTGGTAGCTGGTCAAACATGTTTATCATTACACACTGTCACTATCACCCCCTTCTAACAGATGGAGGCTGGACTTTCTCTGTCCCGTGGAGCTCGCCTCACTCACACACTCCAGTCTCCATGGGAGATAGCAAGCCAGTGGGTGGGCCCAAGAGAGGTTTACCCTGAGGAGACCCCAGAGCTGGCTGCTGTACTTACCTCCCTCAGCACTGCCAGGATAGAACGGGCAGATGTGGGCTATAAGGGTACACAGCTCAAAGCCCTGCTGGTGCTGGATGGGGGACAGAAAGTGGTTTTCAAACCCAAAAGGTCAGGTGTGGTAAGAACAGGGTTATATGTTGTCCTTAAGCATTATTTCAAGAAGCTTACTTTTGTTCCTTCCACTGTCCCTCAGATATAACAGAGACTATGTTGTGGAAGGTGAGCCATACGCAGGCTATGACAGACACAATGCAGAGGTAGCTGGTTTTCACCTGGACAGGTGCGTAGGCATTGTTATTTCACAACACTCGGGCCTGTCAGTAGAGCAGAACTGTAATAATCCACTGGTATCCTCTCCTATCTCTCTGTCCTCTCTGCAGGATCTTGGGCTTCAGGAGGGCACCTCTTGTGGTGGGGCGATACGTTAACCTGCGAACAGAAATCAAACCTGTGGCCACAGATCAGCTGCTGAGCACCTTCCTCACACAGGGTAAGTATCTGCCTGTTCTCTTCTCCTCTCTTGTGCTTCTCGAATAACTTTCTTGTAAGAAATGAGTGTTTTCAGAGTGTTTGTTATTGTTTGAACTATTTCCCTTTCTTTGACTCATTTGACGACTTTCTTTCTCAGCCCGATTTCAGTTTTCACTCTCACTCTGTCTCACTCACATTTCCTGTATGTACTGTATGTGTATGTGTGTGTGTACAGTTGAAGTCAGAAGTTTACATACATTTAGGTTGAAGTCCTTAAAAGTAATTTTTTTTTAAACCACTCCATGTCATGTTAACAGTCTCTTGTTTATAAATGACACAAGTACATTTTCCAACAGTTGTTTACAGATAAATATAATAATTCCAGTGGATCAGAAGTTTACATACACTCAGCTGCCTTTAATCAGATCAGAAAATGATGCCATGATTTTAGAAGCTTCTTATGGGCTAACTGACATTATTTGAAACACAAGAGGTGTATCTGTGGATGTATTTTAAGGCCTACCTTCAAACTCAAAACCTCTTTTTCTGACATCATGGGAAAATCCAAAGAAATCGTCCAAGACCTCAGAAAAAAACTGTAGACTTACACATGTCTGGTGTATCCTTGGGAGCAATTTACAAATGCCTGAAGATGCCATGCTCATCTGTACAAACAATACTACGCAGGTATAAACACCATAGAACAACACAGCCATCATGTCACTCAGGAAGGAAACGCATTCTGTCTCCTAGAGATTAATGTACCGTGGCCCAAAAAGTAAAAGTCTATCCCAGAATAACAGCAAAGGACCTTGTGAAGACACTTGAGAAAACAGGTACCAAAGTATCTATATCCACAGTAAAACAAGTCCTATGTCGACATAACCTGAAAGTATTATGGATATACTGAAGCAACATCTCAAGACATCAGCCAAGAAGTTAAAGCTTGGTCACAAATGGGTCTTCCAAATTAGACAGTGACCCCAAGCAGACTTCCAAAGTTGTGGCAACATGGCTTAAGGACAACAAAGTCAAGGTACTGGATATTGGAGTGACCATCACAAGCCCTGACCTCAATCCAATAAAACATTTGTGGGCTGAACTGAAAAAGTGTGTGTGAGCGAGGAGGCCTACAAACCTGACACAGTTCCACCAGTTCTATCAGGAGGAATGGGCTCAAACTCCAGCAACTTATCGTAAGAAGCTTGTGGAAGGCATCCTGAAACGTTTGACCCAAGTTAACCAATTTAAAGCCAGTGCTACCAAATACTAACTGAGTGTGTGTAAACCTCTGGCCCACTGGGAATGTGATGAAAGAAATAAAAGCTGAAATAACTCTTTTACTTTACCATTCTATGCATTTCACATTTTTAAAATAAAGCAGTGATCCTAACTGACCGAAGACAGGGAATGTTTATAGGATTAAATGTCAGGAGTTTAAATTATTTGGCTCTGGTGAATGTAATCTTCTGACTTATACAACTGTGTATATACTGTATGTGTGTGTGTGTGTGTATACTTTACAGTGACATGGCACCAAGCAGTCGATAGTGTGTGATCATGTCAAGTGAAGGTTATGGTTTTGACAGACACATTTGTCAGAGAGGAAAAAAGTCATTCAACAAGAGTACAAGTCTAAAAACCATAGTGACACCCTCATAGGTCAAACTAACTAAAATTAAACAGGAGAGCTGAATGAGCAACTGTGTGCAATGAACAAAATACCAGACACTCCTTGAAATCTACTGCAATCTAATACAGTATCCCTGCAAAACTAGGGGAATTCCAGCAGCTTTACACATAAAAGGTCAGTGAACCAGTCATCAGGAGAACTGCTCAATGTGTGAAAACGGTTATCTAATGTCTTTAAATTAGCCTTCTGTAGGTGTGAGGAACAACCCCAGTGATGTGGGCAAGATAGGGACAGGGCGATTATACATACAGTAACTGTACATTCAAAGACGGCAAGAACCTAAAGGATTACACTGGAATATACCTTGGGTGCATGTTGACACTGTTTGAGCTTGAGGTTCACACATTGGTAATCTATTTTATCCATCAACAAATGGATGTATTTCTGCATTCTCAGGCTCTAATTGATTCTCTCTGGTACATAAATATCATATCCTAGGTCAGCCAATCCATTAATCAGTTCTTTTAGCCATTTCCTAGTCAGAAATTATTCACAAGCCACCAACTGAATTCTCAGCAAATATTTACATATGTCAAATGTCAAAACAGCCTTCAGACTCTTCTGCCCCTCTGACGTGACTGTGTCTGTTCCTGGAGGCTTTATTTAGTGTAAACGTAGCTATGGCAGAGTCACTGTGTTCCAGTTTTATCGCTGAGATTTGGAGTATAATAGTATTTCAGTTTGTGTGGAACACTTGTTTTTGAGTTTCTAGAGTTTATAATTTATTGATCTCATTCCTTTTCATTTCTATCTCATTCTGAATGTAGTGAATGTTTGTGCAGTAATTCCAGCTGCTTATTGCCTTTCTTTTTTGAGTTTCCCGAGTGGGGATGTGAAATTAGTTAACTTACTCCTCATTCCTACCTTACACACAACCCACTTGCTTCTCCATTGGCATTAAACTGTAAATAGTCATGTTTCCTTTGGTAGCTGTTCAGTTGTGTTTATTTACTGGGAAGGAAACCAGGCCATGGTATATCCACCATATGTCCGTCTCTTCCAAACACTGTAAAATAATGTGTTCCTGAGTACGTTGAGTGTTGAGAAGAGAAACGGGTGAAGTCTCTGTTTGTTGGATTAGTCTCTCTCCAGGTTTCGATTATGTGTAGTTCTGGAAAATTCTTGTTCCAAATGAATCCAGCCTAGGATTCATTGTTTTATTGAAATCCCCTCCACAGATAAGTTTACCATTTGTTTCTATAGCTCTTTTTGTCAAACACATATACTGTATATTGACTGAAGAATAGTTGCAGCCTTTATTTTGCATTGATGATCCTGTGACGGTTGATATTAGCTGACAAGGTAACATGAACAAGTCTTGGTGTCATCAGTAGGACAGGTGTGACCTGACAGACCAGGCCTATGTCAGTCATGGAATCTAACATTTAAATTATCTGTGATGACACAGTGGCGTTGCCTAACCGCCAATTTCTGTTTAACTCGATACAAGTCATTTCTGTAATGGTCTTTGACTTTCTGGTTTACAGTGGGTGGCCAGAGCAGAGCCCATTGTGGCAGGAGCATAGGCAGCTCCATAGATGTGTCATTTAGTATTTAATGGAGATATTTTAATAAAGAACAACTTGAAAGAGTTGGTTCACCCTGAAGGACCTCTGTGCAGCTAGTCATTCATGAAGTTTTTGTTTTACTTGTCCAGGTTTGGTTTTGAAATATGAGTGAGATTTTTACTTTCACCACGATGAAACCACAGTGAAGTTGAATAGAATTTCATTTGTGCTGTTGAAACATGACATTTAATAATCCAGCAATCTGGATTTCCCACAGATGTCACGGTCAGTCATTTTCACTGAAAGTTCTTTCTAGTGGAGAAGCAATCCCAGTGACAACTGTAGGCAGTCTGTTCAAAGGACTGTGCACAGTAGTTGTGAGAAAATGGTTTTTTGTAATGTGGGCAAACAGGAGCAGTGTTCACACCTACCTTCACTCACTCATAGAGCCTGTAGGAGCTGCTGGATTTATAAAGCAGCACCACAAACAACTGGTCCTTATCTTAAGTCAAAACTTATGGCTTTCAAAGTTCAACAAATGCGATATTTACTATAGGGCTGATATATTATCGTCCTTCTTATAACAGTTCATAAAGAAGCCGAGCAGTGTTTCATATTCTAAAAGTGGCAGGTTTTATTTTGACAGAGGTGTTTTGAGTGACTCACCAGCCAAACCAGGATTCATGTGCTGATGAGATCAGGTTATGTCGGGCCTGGTGGCGACATGTATTGAGACATCAGGTATAGGTCAGACCAGTTCATAGTGGGACAGAACAGACTGGCAAAACTGGAATGCTTGTGGTGATGTAGCAGGTAATTCAGATATAACACTGGCAGTTGAATTTATAGCAAAATTAACAAACCAAAGCAAAGAAAACTTGTGGAAGAAAACAAACAAATCTTTTGTTTTCAAGGTGTACTTTGTGTCCATAGCAGGCAGTTCAGTCCCAATGATCCTCTCTTCAGTCTTTATGACCCTATGAAGAGCCTTCCTCTCTGCCTGTGTGGTGTTACCATACCAGACTGTGATGCCAGTGGTGAGGATGCTCTCTACCAGTCCTCTATAAGCCTGGGTGAGGGGGAAACGGTTCAGACCAGCTTTCCTGAGCTGCCTGATGAAGTATAGCCACTGCTGGGCTTTCTTCACTGTGGCAGCTGTGTTCAGTGTCCAGCTCAGGTCAGAAGTCCAGAATCCAGTTGCAGGTGGGAGTCGGGACACAGAGTCGAGGTCTGTCATATTCCAATCAGCCTGCCCGGGCGAATGGATGTGCTTTTTTTGTTTGTTTGTTTGTTGTTTGTTTTTTAGAAAATAGGCTCGGCCCTTTTTTGTTTGGTTTAAAGTTTTACAGACTAACGTGTTTAACACATTTATAATGTGTAAGGATTAAATAGCATAATGTGACAGTGAAAATTGTGTATTAGAAAGCACAGGTGAACACGGATATCATTTACCATCAGTGTTTTTTGTGTTTGTTTTTTTCGAACATCTCTGTGTGTGAGTTCTTTGTTCCTCTGTGGTAAAACAAAAGCTGGGCTTCCATATGATGCAGATGTGTTGATAGGACCCTGAATAATGTGTTTTTGTATTGCTGTGTCTTGGTGAGGCCCGGTTCATGTGTCTGTTCACACGCCATTATATCTTTTGCTGATAAGACATCAGGGTCAAGTTCAAAGTATTTATTTGCATATGCACAGTTAGAAAACTGAGTCAGTGAGCATAAAGGAGAGAGCTGGGCATTACTGTGCAGTAAAATGACAAGTACCTGACCAAAGGTCAAAGTCTTTATTTGCATATGCACAGTTAGAAAATGTGTTTCCCTGTACAATGAAATTCTTACTTTGCCGTCCACATGAATGCCACAAAATGCAGATGAAATATAAAGTAGATAAGTAAATAACACAAAATCTAAGGCACTTTAAGCAGCGCAGATGCAGCAATATAGAAGAAAAAAAATGTACAATGTGCAGCAGTCAACAGTCATTGTGCAATTATGCATGTGCAAACAGAATGTAAACAGTACATGACATATGTCCTGGTAACAAACTCCTCAGCTGTTTAGGAGTCTGATGTGGATTTATTTTTACAGGTACCTTTTATCTCTCTCTCTCTCTCTCCAGGTAATAATACATGTTTCTATGGAAAGTGTTATTACTGTCGGGAAAGCGAGCCAGCGTGTGCAGATGGAGAGATCATGGAGGGGTCGTTAACTCTCTGGTTGCCAGACGTCTGGCCATTGCAGAAACACAGACACCCCTGGGGACGCACATACAGAGAGGGGAAACTGGCCAGGTGGGTGCTTCATAGTTGGTTTATTGGTTTATAAAGTCACTAAAAGTCCAGTCACTTCACTGAATTATCATGGATGGATGGCTGGTTGGATACAGGAGGGGGAGATGAGTGAGGGTGGAGTACGCTGTGATCTGCGTGTGGGCAGCAGAACTTTAACTGACTTTGTAGCAGAAAAATATTTCACTTGGAAAAACTTTTGCTTAATCCACAGGGTTTGAATCCCCCTCTGTCCAACTGGTAATTTCAAGTGGTGCATTTTTCATCAGGTTCAGAAATTCAAAATTCTAGTTATATTTCACATTATTTCAGGTTTTCAAGTTGTTCAGATTCAATTAGTCAGACTGGGTCTTTAAAGAAGAT